CCTTTGATTATGTATCTACCTGGCAAGTTTTTCTGAAAAAATTAAAGCATATGAACGAACATCTGTAGCTTTTTTCCATAGCTAAGCTTTCATAAACGATTCAGAAATTAATCTAGAGGCAATGCCAGTAAAAGGAAAACATTACCCAGTTAACAGACAACAGGGAAATGAGTAAAACCATTTTGATTAGCTAGAATTTTGAGAAACAATGGCCACTTCTGAAAATCCAGAGTAAAACCTCTTTAACAGGTCATGGCAGATTTGGAATACTAAATAAAACAAGGTATTCTTTGCTGCACAGATATGCAATGAATCCCAAGGCCCCAAAGATGTTATTTTGCTTTGGTGAAGATCACAGGATTTAATTCAAAACACAGGATAGAAACAACGCAGTAGAAAAGAAAACCTATGTTAGAAGTTTATCCCTCTTCACATCACTCTTAGCATATTGTCGAGTTTTGTTAAACTGAAAAACAATAATATCACTATAAACTACGCCTCATTGCAATGTCTAAGATATTTCAAATTTATTTCAGTAAATACTACAAATAATCACAGATCCCAGTATTAGAGTATACATAAAAGCAAGCTGGGTGTAGCACTACACATAAAAAGAGGATTTGAAATTGCTTAAGAAGAAGGAATACACCAAAAATCAAGTTGGTATTAAGAGACACAAAGTCAGCGTAGAATTTAAGCCTCATACCTCAGACTTCATTCATTTTGTGACACTCCTAAGTATGAATTTAAAGGGGTAGGATGGACATAGTTGGAAATATAAATACAGGAAGTGGCTTTTTTCCATCTGTTTCTTAGGATATGTGATTTGTGCATGAAGTCAACCAACTTCTTCACCTAGGTAGTGCTGAGCACAAGACAAGTATTAAGTACAGGCCTGACTTCTGGAGTGAAGGAAAGGGAGCATTTCTTTTGCACCGGGTATTGCATTTGACTTCTTAAGACAAAGAAAAAAAGACAGAAAAAAACCACCACACCCTAGACAGTAAACATGCGTTCAAAAAAAGGGAGTCAGAACAATACCTGGTACCTCTTTCCACCAATCTTCTCTTTCCAATAATTTTAAGTAATTATGGCTAGCATATTTGCCACTGAAAAAGTCTGTTGTCCCTACCAAAGCAACATTTACGCTTCAGTTGACATCCTCACGTAAAATACGAGCAGAACTATAACCTCTCAAAAGAGCAGTTGTTAGCAGTTCCATATGAACTGAAATCATGGACTGAAATCTAAAACCAAAGCAATACTACACTCATTCTTCCAATCCACATTCAGATAGGAAGCTGTTACCCTGCAGATCCATATGACTCATTAATGCTCTAGGAAGGAAAAGAAAACATAACATTGTAAGTGCAGCTAAGTCAAAGACACATCAAACATGTGATGCATTTTATCATTTTAACTTATACTGACTGTAATTTTGTAACTGAATATTTATAACTCTACTTTGCTAGACTAAACCAACTCTTCCTTTAACCAAAAATCTCATTTAGTAACAAAGCAATCTTTGAGAAACCTGAAAAACAAAGTGCATTCGGTTTCTAAAGGCCTCAATATATTAAGTGGACCCCTACCTGCTATGCCATCCAACAGGAAGTGGGATGAACTCAGCAGCTAGCATATATGCTTCCTGATACACAACCAGCCTCTGCAGAAGCTACTAAAAAAAAAAGCATCAGAATCAGAAAGACACCTCATTGAGTTAGCATCAAAGAGTACCTTTATGGAAAGCAGTAAGAAGGGTTTAAAAGTGACTTGTGGCTGGAGATTTTCAGACTTGCTATGCTGCTTTTGCAAAAACAAGGTCAGTCACTAATTAGGTCTGCTTTAAGCAGAGTGTTGGACTAGATTACCTCCAGAAGTCCATTCCAACCTAAATTATTCTTTTTTTCTAAGACTCCTTCATTCGTAATATGACAACACTGTTCATTTCCAAGGCAAAGAAGCCTGAAAATCATTTTCAAGAAGACTACAGGAAAAGCCTACTGTTCTGCTTTCAAAAATTAAAACAGCAGATCCCTATGCTCTGGCAACTGTATCTTACTCTTTAGAGAGAGACAATCTACTCTTTAGAGAGAGACGATCTACTCTTTAGAGAGAGACGATCTACATGTGGACTAGGCCTGAGAGAGAGGAAGATTCCCCCCCAGTCAGGACAACCTAGAAATCAGAAGGAAAAAAAAAAAAAAAGACTTAGCAAAGAGTCTAAAATTAGTGTTTGAACTTAAGAAAAAGGAAAGAAGGAAAGAAAAGAGGGAAGAGAGAGGGGTGATCTCATGGTTTTTAGTTTAAAATTATGACTTTGACTTTGTATGATTTGGCTGAGGTGTCTATGGTCTCATTAAAGGCGCAAATATATCAAATTTCTTGCGGATGCCCTTACTAAAAATAATTTTAGTTTGATTCTTTGGCTATAGCCTAAGGTTTAATATTCTGACTGTATTATAGCATTGTCCCCTAGAAAAATGAACAAGTAGACTCAGCTAATCAGAATTGATATTAATCTTGATGAGAGGACTCTCTCCAGATGAACTGAATGTGGAAAATGAACTCTTATATTTCAGCTAGGTTACCAACAAGTACCTTGGCCAAAGCTAGGATTTGTAAAAGCTTCAGTATAGTGTACTGTTATAGCCTAATGAAATTCCAGAGGAAGCCCACAACAAACGATATAGTCTAGATTTTATTTTGACATGGTGATTCAACCTGGTTTGCTAACAAGCAAAGTCAAAAATAACTCAAGTAAGAATACGAAATACAACAGCTTCCTTTAAAACTGAAAGATACTTAGCTAAAGTACTATTTTAAATATAGAAAGAATATATATATTTGAGTTGAGACTGACAGCTAATGAAGAGTTTCTCTTATGGCCAATTTCATGAACAAGTTGCTCACCTCAGAACAATAAAGCTACATCTTAGGGGATCCTATACCGATTAGCTCTGCACTTCCACATGTGTTTCCTAAATCTGAAACATATCAAACAATGCTACATGTCATGGAACCAGTAAGCCTAGATTTTCAAAGCTGGCCATGGTATTCTTACTTCTAGATTAATTTTCTATGTTACCATAAAATACATCACATCAAAGATGGCTTATAAAAAGAAAAAAAAAAAAAAAGTAGGGGAAAAAAAGAAGAGCTCCAGTGCTTATGCCCTTGATGTAAATAGTAACAGAGAGCAAGTGACAAAAGCAATTTGTTTTATTTCTATTATTTGCAGATCTATAACAGAACTATAAATGTTTAACAAAATGACATCTCAGTTGCAACCTGTAAAGCGGTTAGGAAAGCCAGAAACAGTAGATGACTACAATGGAATAATTTGCATTGGAAAAGGCATCCCAAAAGATCAAAGAACAGAAAGATAGAACTTACTCACCACAATTGATGGTAAGAATTGACTTTCCTACTAGTTCATCCGCACATATTGTCACTGATACCCATTCACCCTCTTAACGTCTTTTGTTTCCATTCTTTTATTAGTGACTTTGGGTGCTGTTAGATTTTTGAAATACATCTTTAAGGGATTATTCACATGAAATTTAATAGCTTTACAGAAGCTTTAAAGAGGACTTCTGTTAAAACTCAGTAACCATTAGAACATTTGTGAAGACAGGTCCAGAAAATATCAGCAGCTACAGGACCAATATACAGGTTAATGTGATAGTGAAGAAAAAAATAACACATTCCAACCACGTTGAATTGTTCTAAATGTGAAAATGACCTTGACATCCCCACTAACCCACTTTTCCATCTAGACACAAAGATCATTTTGTAAGCAATGTTAGCTACACTCGTAAAACGTATCTTTCAGTTCTACATACCATAGTCCGTTTACAGAGTCTGGCAAGTAAAAAACACATTTCTTTAACAAAGGGTGCTTCCTGTACAAAAGCAACTACTTCATAGACAACTATTTAAATGAACAAATGCGCTGAGCATATGAAATAAGATGAATCCGGACTGCTGCACATTCCCAGGCACACCAAACTACTGATATGCTCAGCAGAAGTTCATAAACAAGCGGTACTTTCATTTTCCTTCTATTCCTCCTTCCAATTTATGACAGTACCTGCCTATCACTAAAATACAAGACTTTAAAAAAAAAAAAAAGACAGTATATCACATGGAGGTCATTAAGCAACCAGAATATCCACATTTGTCAACTTAAGAAGACACAGTATAGCTTTGGCATTCCATTTGACTGCTTTGTTACTTGGGAAGGAAATATACAGGTCTTGTGAAACACAGACTCAAAACAGAAAAGCAGAGAGCTACGAAAACCAACATTTTTACGCGAGCTCGTGAGAAAGCTGCCTTAAACCTCACCTATCCTGCCGCAAGTCACCATCTCTCATTGACACTTGCGCTACAAGGAGAAACGGAAGGCTGTGAGCAGCGACCATCGGACACCCTCTACACAAGTAATTTCCTCATTGGATCACCTTGCTTTTATAACGCACGTTTCTCGCTCCCCGCCTTATGCCCGGGCGCAGAGCACCTCCCTGAGCAGCGCACTGCCGCAGCCTTGCGCTTGGCATCGCTAAACGGCACCGCGCGCGTTTCCCGGTCCCGCAGCCCCCGCCCAGGCCCCTTCCGCCGCCAGGTCACGACGGGCTCCAGGGCCCCGCCCGCACTCCGCGGAGTGCAGGGCGCCGGCAGAGCACCAGCGCCCGCCCCAGGCCCCGCGCCCCCCGCCCGGGCACGCACCCGGCTCGGGCCGCGCGTGCGGACAGAGGAGGAGGAGGAGGAGGAGGTGGAGAAAGGAGGAAGAGGCCGCGCTCGGCCGCGGCCCGGCCCGGCCCGGAGAGCACCCGTCAGGCGGCAGGGGGCGTCCCGCCGGCCTCGCGGGTCACGCAGAGCGGAGCATCCCCCCCCCCCCCCCCGTTTTCTCCCCCCTCGCCGCGCCGCCGCCGGGAAGCGGTGCCCGGCGCCTGCTGCCGCCCCGCGCCCGCCCCCGCCCGCAGCCGGGGCCTCACCCGCTGTTGTCGCTGCAGACGCCGCCCGCGGCTCCCTGCGGCGGCTGGCGGCGGAGAGTCGAGGGGCGGCGGGGCTCGGTGCGGCCGCAGGCACGGGCCCCACTCCGGCCGCTCCCGCCGCATGGAGGGGGGAGGGCAGGCTGGAGCGAGGGGAGAGGAGCGGGGGGAGCGGGCAGCGAGGCCCGGGCGGGACGGGGCGGGAGGGGGCTCAGCGGCGGCGGCAGCGCGGGGGCCGCTGCCTCCGCCTCATCCCTGCCCGCGCCTCCGCCGGGCCAACGCCGCTGCCCGGGCGCCGTCGCCTAGCAACCGCGCCCAGCCCCCGCCGCTGCGGGCGCCCGGCTCCTCGCGGCGCCCCGCGCGCTCCCGGCGGCAGCGCACGCGCCGTCGACGCGCGGCCGCGCGCACCGGCCTTCCGCTCCCGCCCGGCGCCAGGGTGCTGCCGGCGCGTGCCCGGCCCCGGGCCCCGCCCGCGGCGCAGGAGCAGAGCCGGGCCGCGCGGGGAGCGAACGCCTGGAGGGCTGACGGAGACGGGGTGCTCTTAGGAGCCGGGGGCTGGCGTGTGGCTGCCGAATTTGGAGCGAATGCCGTACCTCGGGATGCGCCATTTTGACTCCTGCTTTCTGAGGCCTGGCAGCGCCGCTCCCCGCGGTGCCCGCGGCAACACGCCCCCAGCCCCGCGGCAGCCGGCCCGCGGCCGGTCCTGCTGCGTGCTGGCGGGGGGGGATTTTCCATCAGCCTGCCGGCCGGCAGTACCGGGCTTTCTGCTAGCGCAACTGCAATTGCTGGGCATGCCATTTCTTTCACAAAACGTGTTACACGCTTTTTTTTAATGTCAGTCCGCACAAATTTTCACCTGCCCTCACACCTCCCAAGTTTCCCCTGGCAGCTGGACGACCTTATAAACTCCTGTCTGAGTTTTGTCTTTTGGAAAAAAAAAAAAAAAAAATCTTGCTTGCAGCTTGGCTGCTTTAACTCGCTGATATTTGTCTAGAAAGATGTTTCAGATGCTCTGATGAAGATACAGAAAAGCTGACAAAATGTACAATATTACTGTATGTCACTTGTCACATAAATGAATCTATCACAGTGGCTCATTTTATAGAACTTAAAAGTTTATCAAGGCATTCTTTATAACGCGAAAACTTTTCTGTAATAATGAGCAATGTACACAGAATTTAATGGTATTTTTTAAAGTTAAACATAGTTTATAAAGAATATATATATATACATATGGTAATGTGTTAAATCCAGCACATGCTGAGAAAATAATAAAATATATATCTTTATATATATTCTTATATATAATAATACATTCTTATATTTTATTTATTTATATATATTTTATTCTTATATTATTATATATAAATTCTTATAAATATATATATTTATATATATTCTTTGCAGAATTGATTGTTCTAGGAGGGATGATTACCTAGGGGGGGAAAAAGTCATTCTTGCAGTTGGAACTGTTCTGTATCAGACTTCTTGTCACAGTGGTATTAGTGTATGGAATGAATTTATACGAAATAGAAGTGTCTAATCTTTTTAAATGCAACAAAATTCAAACTGGTGCTCAATGGGTAGGGTAGTACTTAGGCATTGAGTTCGGTCTGCATACTACTAAAACTTGTTTTGAAATGTATCTGCCTATTAGCTCTTGGTTCAAAAAGGATCAAATAGGAACAAGGATGAATTTTTCAGGAACAGATGACTGGGAGTTTTTTTTCAATGGCAGTTGTTTGCTTTAGTCCCACATCTCCCACTGAAAAAATCTTACCTGTGTGCTGGGAGAAAACTGATCATTATTTATATCCGACACATCAAAGTTTATACATAGCAGCAGAGTAGATGTGAAACATCAGTGCAGTGATTTCTGATAATTTAAAGAACTGTCAGACCTATTTTGTATACAACAAAAAGTGAAACGCAGAGAGATTAAGACACTTGCCCAAACCTACTAAGAAAAAAGTCGAACACCACCTTTTGAATGTGCTTGGACTGCCAGTATTAGCATCAGAGCTGAAAGAGTAATCCAGATGGACAAAACCTGGTCTTCTGCTCTGCCCATAAAACAGCATGCCTCATGACATACTGATTTTTCACTTTACAATCTGGAACAGGATTTTTCATCTCTATCTCTAGAAACAGTAGGGATCTCAGAGTGCACAATCAGGATACTGACCTATCTCTCCAGGGTACAATGCGCCTTTTGCTCACCTTGTTACCTCTGATAGCAGTGGTGAAAGTACATATTCTCCTCTTCCTCTTTTGTCACTTTGCTGAAAGTTTACACTGAAAAAGTCGTTCAGAAATTTGGCAGCAATAGCAGAAGCCTCATTTAAAGGACTGTATTCTTCATCAACGAAAAGAAAAATGCCACCGCATTTCAAAAACCAGTGTGAGCTGAGAGGCTACAAAATGCCAAGCAGATTCACTGTACTTCAAAGGCAGCATAGGGAAGAGGGCACAGGATGACAGCCGTGCTGATTCCACAATCGAGGAAAGAGGAGGATATCTTACTGCAGCAGGCACTGATTTCATGTGGATGCTGAACTCAAGGTAAATGCATGCTCCAAAAGACTACTTACTATTTATCTAGAGCCTGACTTAAGACCTAGTGAAAGCAATGGGAATTTGCCTACTGATATGAAATGGTTTTCCTCAGGACCTTCATTTCTTTTGAATACTTCTGAGGATTGTTTCTTCGCTTTGTTATTCTGCAGAGCTAATGGTTTTTAGTTTTGCACAAATGGTAAAGTTAACAAATTCCTACCATCATGTGTATAGCACACCTATATTTTTAATTGCTTAAAATGAGACCTAACATACCTCACGCCCACATTGTTGACTTTTGTGTATTGAGTACAAGTGGTATTTCTTTGACCTTGCTTTTATATAAACAGGTTTGTGTAAATAAAGTAAGAAGAAATAAATTTAAAATAAGCTATATAAAAAAGTTAAAGTCTCACTCTTCTGGGAAAATGAAGGGGAGAGAACAACTTGCATAAAGCATGTGCAAGTCCCAGGAGATTGTCTCAAAAATGCTCCAATAATGTTTTAATGGGCAGAGTATTAAACAAGAATAGCGCAGACAGAAAAGTGATCTGAATTTTAACACTGGAGAGGTGGATTAAAGATTCTGTCCTGGAGGTAAGGAAGAAAGGGTAGAAAGAATTGTTCCTCAGATATTGTTTATCTAACATCAAAAGTATCCCTACATTATTAAAAGTATTCTATACCTACATTATTAAAAGTATTCTTAAATCCACATAAATTCTTAAATCCACACTGTAAGTATCAACCTTTGTGACCACTTTGAAGTAAGTTAGAGCTGCTATTTATTCATTACGTGTTCCAGAACTATGTCTGCAAGAATACATTTACAAAAATTGGACTTGTATAATGCAAATAAATCCTCAAATCATTAATTGGAAGATTCATAAGAGAATCTGAAATATGTTTTTTATAATGTTTGAAATTTTCAATATATTTCTTAATTTATTGTCTAGTGGAATTGTTAGAAAAAGAATGTAGATGTTTTGTGCAAGTCATCCTGAGTTTTTAACTCTCTTTAACTATTGATTATTAATTATTAATTATTATTAGTGATAAACAGATCCATAATCTTTTGTCTGAGAAGACTGACCACAGCTGCCAGTTGCTCAGGCACGAGGTGAACCTCAACCAGTGCTTATCATGATGGCTAGTGCTCTGTGGCACATAAAGAGATTCTAAGACCAATTTTTAGCTTGGAACCAGCTATTTTACTTGGACTGTCTGAGTTCAGCTAGCAACTATTGCAATAATGCATGACATTCTGAGCTTTGTGTTGTTTTTATGACTTCATGCAAATTGATATTACTTCACAGGTGAGTATAAAAATGGGGTCCCCGCTCCAAAGCAGTGTAAATAGAAGCAGCAGCAAAATCACTCAGAGAAAACATACTGTCATAGAGAACAAGAGAATGTTAAAGACCAAGTCACAGAACGCAGGTAAACCAAAGAGAAAAAAAAATGTTCTGCTTACCTATGCTTAATGAAAAACGATAATTTTTGCTATTTTTAAATAAATGGAAATGTGAAACTAAAAGCATTTAAAAAGATGACTAGATATATTAATATGAAAAAATAAGCAGGAAGCTGCAGTGCACTGGTGCTGATATCCATGAGTTCTGAAGTTTTCGTGACTGACTTGATTTGCCGGATTGCTCATTCCCACTGATCAGTGAAAGCAGGAAAAAAAAAAAAAAAAGGCCAAACTGCAGCTCCTGTGAAGAGAGTTAGCTTCTCAGCTTCTCACACTGCCTGAAACAGGGTCTGATCTGCATCACACAACATTGATTATTCAATGTAATTTGCATAAGAAGAAAAAAATCCCACTGCAAACATTTGCTGCCTCAGTTACAAAAGGTTTGCTTAAACATCTTTGTTAAGCAGGGCAGGGCAGGCAGGGGAGGTATATACTAGCATAAATTCTTTGGAGACTGGCTGAGTAGCAGAATTCAGGAATTTAAGCCTATTCTTCCTTCCCGACAAGAACTCAGAAGAAGGTAGAGGGAATGTTAGCCTGTCACATTCCCTTCTACAAGCCTCCATCTCTTTTGTAATACAGAACATTTTGCAGTTTTATTGTTTGCGTTCATATTCACGGCTGCTTTCTCATCAGATTCTCTGTATTTGTTTCAGACAATGAACATCATTTCCAAAGGTAGCAAACGCTATTTCTTTTGATCTTCCAAAGTGTTGAGATATAACCGATATCTTCATACCTTAAAAAATAATTCTTAATACACTGTAGAAGCTGAAGAAAAATAATTGCCTATCTGAGGAATGACTGACTCTATTCACCAACATGTGAAAAAGCAAAGTGCTCTGATATTCGTGGCTAGAATGTCCTTAGAATGGCAAATGGTCACTTTTCTCAATTTAGCTGTTTTATTTGCATTGTTGTTATTTTCAACTAAGACTGCTATGTGTAGTGGCAGAAATAAAAAAGAAAATCCTAAAGAACAAAATGTATCTCTTCTGAACTCCACATGCACTCATCATCACTCAGAGTACATACAAGAAAACAGCATGGTAGTAGTAATGGCTACAGCATGTTTTTATGTTTTACATCAAAATTACAAACACATCCAACGATCATAGTGCTTATTCCATAATTCCAATGATTTAATGAAATGTTAATTATTGCATAGACCTCAGGAAGTCACCTTTTACTCTCTTTGCACTCCTAACAACCTTTGACATAAGGTGTGACAAATTGATTCCAAACGTAGTTGCAGGAAAAAGGGCAGGAAAGCTCTGCTCTGCCTTGTGGGTGTTGTAGTCTTTCTGCTGACTATCTGCCTAGTCAGAAATAGGAAGCTGGACTCTAAGTCCCATAGCTCCCACTAGAGCCTACTGCACAGGCTCAGAGACCATATGCTCCGAGGGGGTGACTACATTGTGTCTATTGTATGGTTGTTGTTTTTTTTGTTGTTGT